GAGCCTGTCCTGGAACTAGCTCTTGTAGACCAGGCTGGTTGAAGAATATATCTTTTAAGTGGAAGACAGAGTGTATCTGTTTCTCTGAAAAGAATCAGATGCATGAGAATCAGAGGTCCCAAGTTTCTTCATAAGCAGTAATGACACCAGAATGTCAAGGCACCAGAATGACTTTCTCTTCAATCCAGGCAATATGAACTACAATTTTCCCTTTTATTTTCAGGGTCATTGGGTATTGTTTAATCTGGATGGAGGTAACCGAACTGGTTAGTTGAGAAATTATACCAGTTTGGTGTTGGGCCAGTCCTGGGGGATTGATAGCTGCCCATCACCCTGGAAATCATTGTAGTCCCTCAGAGAGATAATCCAACTGTGTATTTTGATTGGAGTCAGAACTTTCAGCTAGGAGATATTTTTCTGACCAAGGATAAGGCACCAAAATTTTGCTGTGTAACTGTGTCTCATCATCAGAGAAGGTGATGGTGACTTTCAGTTCATGTAAAAGGTCTTGTACCAGTCAGTTCTCTGTGGTTAAATACTCTCTGAGCTACCTCCATCAATGGGGACTTACCTATACCTTTATGTTTTTCTAACTTTGTAAACTTTCTTTCTTCTTTTTTTAAAATCAACAACAACAACAAAACAGGACCAACTGTGTAACAGAGGAAATCTTTTTTAGCCACTGTCTTTAATCTTTCTAAACTTACCTTGTGAAAACTCCTGGAGAGATGGCTCAGTGGTTAAGAGCACTGACTGCTCTTCCAAAGGACCTGGGTTCAATTCCCACCACCCACATGGCAGCTTTCAACTGTCTGAAGATCCAGTTGCAAGAGATCTGACACCTTCACACCAATGCACATAAAATAAAGTTTAATAAACCATAAAAAATAAAAAAAAATAATAAGAGGGGGCTGTCCTACCATGTCAATTTAAAAAAAAAGAAAAATGCTTAAAGTCCTTGGTTAGTGTTGGACAGAAGGGAAAATCCTCACCGTCCAGGCTTCAAGGCTTGGCACTGACTCCCCCTGCCCTGCCCAGAAGCAGTTTTTCTGAGTTTTCCAGAGACAGGTGGGTTTTACAGACCAAAGCTTTGAAAGGAGACATTAAAGCAAAAGATAAAGGAGTGGAATTTTCTCTTATCTTTTAGGCTCAGCCCTGGGGAAACTCTTCCCCTCTCCAGGGCTGCTCAGAACAGAGGGAATGATCTCCTGGGTGTACTATTTCTCCATCCCTGCCCGCATTCCACCTAGATGGCTGGGGGCCCTGAAGAGAGAGGCCAGTCCCTTACCTCCACACAGAGCCAAACCAATGACTGTGATCCTAAGTCAAGCAACAAAATAAGCAAGTGCTGGAGTGGGACAGGTCGAGTTTATACTGGTATCTCTGTGTGACCTGGCAAAGCCAAAGTATTTAGGTCCCCAACAGGAGAGGACACAGGTCTTAATCTGCGGGAGTCGGGGGTGGTGGTGGTGGTGGTGGTAGGGTGGGGGAGGTCTCACAGGAGAGAAACACACTGGTCAATTACATGGAAACAAAACTAGCAGAGACACATAGAAAGACACATAGAGACACTTGAACAGACAGGGAATCTAGTGACATCTCACATAGATCAGCATTTGTGCCTCCTATGTGTCCAAACAGCATGCCCATAACCAGACATAACTCCAGAGTTGACAGACCAGGTGACTTTCTCATTCATTTCCTTTTGGGGAAACCCCTCTGCAGTGTTAGGCAGAGACTGATCAAAGACCTAGAACATCTGAGATTGTGCTGATCACCCCCCAACACACACACACACACACACACACACACACACACACACACACACACACACACACACACACACACGTCTCAAGGTCTGGTCTCTGGGATCTTGGTGGGACTTCTAGAAGTATTCACCAGAGAAGACTGCTAGGACATGAATTCAAGTCAATTAAAAGTCCCTATTAGGGGCTGACCACAGGGCAGGGAACCCTGACTGCTCTTTGGACTGGAGAGGGAGGGGGAGAGGAGTGGGGGGAGGGGGAGAAGGGTGGGAGGAGGGGGAGAAGGGTGGGAGGAGGGGGAGGGAAATGGGAGGCTGGGAGGAGGTGGAAACTTGTTTTTTTTTTCTCCTTTTCTCAATAAAAAAATGAAAAAAAAAGTCCCTATTAGCCAGCTGGTGACTACACTGTATGTTAAGGATTCCATTGTAGCCCCAAGCCTTTCTTAGGTTGAGCTTTTAACACAAACCCCATGCCACGTCCTGGATTGACATACTTCAGTAAACAAGAACAGTTAGCCAGAAGCACAACTACACAAGTCAAAAAGCAGGGTTAGTACATTTAGAGACTTTTCTAGAACTATGGATTTGCCTAGAACTATGGATTTTGATGCATTAGGCCTTTGGTTTAGCTTTGGCAGTTGCTATTGTCTGTGTGCTGAGTTTTACAGCCTGAATGGCACTTCCATAATGGAGTCAGTTATGCTAAGATTTCTAGGCCTACTAAGATCTGGGACCCTGTTACAGCTTCACTCTTTATAATACTCAGAGTGGCACCTATACTTCAACATATTCAACATATATTATTCATTCTCATTGTGGAGTGGTATTTTAAGAATGGATATATTTCACATTGTTTGTTGATAGCTGAGTGAGCTGCACAAGATTGTTTCATGATTTCATTATTAAGAATAAAGCTCATATTTGTAACACTCAAGTGTTTTTTTTTTTTTTTGTGCAAACAAGTGTGTGTTTCTCTAGAATAAATGACCATGGATATAACTTGTGGATGGCTAGGTCATTATGTGATTAGCTTAACAAACATTTTCAAAACTGTTTTCCAGAATGGTTGCCAAATTACAAATTGTCACTATATAGGAGCAAAATCTGGTGATTCAAGATTAATAAACCACACTGTTTGGGAGAGAGGCATGAGGATCACACATTCAAGGCCTGCTTGAGCTACAATGTGAATTTAAGGCCAAACTGGAATAATCAGTGAGAAACTATCTCAATATTTTACTGAGACAGTATGTCAGTAAAATAGGACTGGGTTATAACTCAGTGGTAGGTCATGTGTCATGCAAGAGGACCTACTTTCAAACACTGTAGACAAGGAAGCAATGAAACATGGTCTTGTTGCTTTATAGCCTCATCAGAATCTGATGTTTTCATTTTTTTTTCATTTGAACAGGCAACAGTCAGGTGTTTTCTCACCAGTAAGCTCATCATCAAATACACATACCCATTTTCCCACTGAACTAAGTAGTTATGCTATGCTTTTATTTGGATAAACTTTCTGTTTTTATGTGAGATTTACTCAGTAAATGATATTCACTGACAAAAGAAATGAGAGAATATTGCTATTTTTCTGAACAACTTACCGTTTTCGAAGTAATTAAGAATTTTATTTGTTTCTATGTGCTTAAAACTAATTTATTTTAATGTCTTCTCTTCTTATTCCAAGAAACCCCAATTGTCTAAATTTGTCAAAATTATTTCTCACCACAAATTCACAAAGCCTTCTATCAACTCAATCTCCCTGGGGTCATGTATATGTCGGCATGTGTAACACAGGCCTTACAGGTATCTGCACAAAGCAAACAGAGGACTAGATCTCCCTGGTGTTCCATCTTACTGCAGACATTTCTGAGTTAAAGCCTTCCTTAATTGAAAACAAAGCCAAAAGAGTTGTTATACAGTTCAGATTTCAGCCAGTCTTTTCTTTGAGTGTGTGCAGAAGGGAATTTTGACATTCCTTTGTTGTTTCCAATTGTTTTCTAGTTTGTTTAGGGGTTTGTACCAGAACCGTGATTTGCATTCACTCAAACTCTAAATCTTTCAGGGGTACAGAACAAACTTGGCTTTGCCAAAGGGATCTAGGCCAGCTTTGTACTGTGTTCTAAAAAAAACCTCAAAGGTGATTCAAATATCCCACTGGTAAAGAAGACAAGAATTCCAGAAGATATTTTATCATTTCCTAGAGATTTGCACAGTATAATCAACCCTTTTCCAATCTTGTTTCAACTGTCAACAACAATTCCAATAAATTCATAAGTTGACTTTAAATCTAGGACTACTTAATTATTGCTCCATAATTTTTGGAAAAAAAAACTATTTATGATCTTGGTATTGGAAGAGTCATGCTGAACTAAAATCTGTATTAAAAAATAAACCACTGGATTGCATTTGTTTTTTGAGTCTGTAATTTCTTTTAAATTTAATTATATAGGGGCTGAAGATGTAGTTTAGTAATAGAATGCTTGAATGTTCAAGATTCTGGATCCTTGCACTGGGGAAAAATAGAAAAAAATAATGTATTTTTTTAGATTATTTAGTCATCTCTATTTTTATACATTTTTATATTTTATAATAATTTAATAGTTTGGTATTATAGAAAAGACAGAAATGCTGGCCTAAAGGTCACTGACATTTTTCTCCTTATTAAAGTCCTTCATTTCAGTCAAATTTGGCTGCCTTAATAGACCCTGCAGACTATCATTTTCACTAAGCTTGCTCTAAAGGAGGATCCAGGAAAATGGCCAATAAACCAAATGCCACTTTGAAACCCTGGCTGTGTCAACATCAGCTGCTTTTGGATTTGAGGCTGACAAAGTAAAGTATTTTCCAATTATTTTGCTGATACTTGTCAACCAATTCTCTGATTCCACAGAAACCTGCTGTTCGAGTTTCCCAACCCAAGGCCCTGGGACCTTTCACTGAGTACAGGTCTGCTGCGCAGGCACAAGCCTGAGGGCAGGGGCTGGGGGAGGGGACTTTAGGGCCAGGGTGAGAGTAGCACGCAGCTCCCAGCTCTTACATCAGAGAAGCGTGGCCAGGGCGGGGCAAGTTCCGGAGACTGCCTCCAAAGGAATGCTGGGGCGAGGCCTGGGTCAGCGCTCACGTGGAGTTGGGATAATGGTTTCCTAGTGCTTGTCTCCTAGCTACATCTGTTGACTCTAGCCAGTCGGGAGTTGGTCAAGTCCGCTTCTGGTTGCTGGCTATCTAGAGGTCCGCGATGGACACAGAGCGGGGCTCCTTAGGCACTCAGGATGTGGATAGCACCAAGAAGGAAGTTCAACTGAGGGTAATCCCTTCGGAGCTGAAGTTCCTGGATGCAGTGTCTGGGAAAGTGTACCGGCTGCCTCTCGTTGTACACAATTTGGGCCGCTGGAACCAGAAGATGAGGTTTCAAGAGCCTGGGAAGCCACAGGTGATAAATTAAGGGTACTGAAAGCTCCTGGGTAGCTTCCGCACTTGAGCAACCCTTTGGCCCAAAGACCAAAATCTACATTTCTAAGGAATTCGGGAAGGATTTTATTTGCTGAGGTGTAGTCACTGGGAAGGAGAAGATAACAAAAGGGGGGGGGGGAGGAGGAAGGGATAACTGCTAAGGTGTAAAGGGGAGGAAGAGAATTTAGGGAGGAAGAGAAGGGAGTGAAAGGCCGGAAGGGGGAGGGAGAATGGTAAAGACTTAGGGAGAGGGAGGAAGAGAGGGATAGAAGGAGAGGGAACAAAAGAGCCAAGGAAGGAAGGGAGAGAGGGAGGGAGGAGAAGGGAGAAAGAATGGAAGAGAGAAAGGGATGGAAAGAGGGAGAGAGGAAGGGGATAGGAAAAGTGAGAAGGGGAGGCGAAATAATGATGGGAGGAGGGAGAGGAAGGAAAGGAGGGAGTGGGAAAGAGTGGAGAAAGAATCTTTTACTTCAAGTAGGGGGTATGAGGAAAAGACTAGATGGGGCGAAGCTGAGAGAGAATATGCTTCTTCATAATTGTGTTTGGAAAAAGAAAAGTCCTCACTCCTGTTTTCATTTTTAGTTAACAGAAAATTACAGATTCGTGAAGCTTTATAAATACAATGATGGTTACATCTACTAAGAATTCCAATTTTATGCACCATATCTTCATGATTCTGAAGTGAATCATGAAGTAATTCATGAGGTGAATTAACAACACCTCAAAAAAATCCTAGGAGGTCGATTTTTTTTTTTGAGGTGCTGTTAATTGCCCTCTGACACTTAAAGTTCCTGATTCCTTCAGGAATTACTAAGAGGCATAAGTGCGGTTTTGTGTCATACTTTATTGAGAATTTACGGAGAAACAGATATATCTCTACTCTCTAAGGATAGGAACTAAAAGGGCATTTTCGTACAGGTCTAATCATCATACCCTGTAAATATATACATTTAATGTATATCAGTTTAAAGTTTTTTTAAAAAAATTCTTGTTAGGTGGGAATAAGACCTATGCTTGGTAATAATACACACTCCCTAAATATTAGTTTCTCATAATCTTTATAAGGAACTAATAGTGCTGATTTTATCTTTTTCCACTTAAGTTCAAACTGTTGTTGACGAGTCTGGATAAGGAACTAGCTTCTGGCCTTCAGATGTCAGCAATGGTGGAATATCATCCTGATAAAAATGAAGACGTGTTTGATCACATCTTTATCTATGCAGGAAATAAAGTTCTAGAGGTTCCTCTGATTGGGTATGTAATCTTCACATCTGTCTTGTAACAATTTTGTTTTTATTAAACTGTACTAATTCATTTAAGGACATTCTGTGATGTAGAGCTTGCAATCTAAATATAAAATAGATGTGTCATGAGATTGCTTCATATGAGACAATGAATTTTTGAAAGCTGTCTGAAAATGCCTACTACATACATGCTGCTTTGAACACATTAAATTAAAGACACATGTAGCAAATCACATTTTTTCATTGTACAGAGATCGTGTTTTATACCTTGTTCTTGTTAGCTTTGGACATTTTGATACAAGCTAGAGTCCCATGGGAAGAGAGAATTTATTTATTATCCTGCAGTCAAGTCTATGGGGGCATTTTCTTGATTAATGGTTGGTGTGGGAAGGCCTAGTCCACTGTGGGCAGTGCCTTACTGGCCAGATGGTCTTGGGATATATAAGACAACAAGCCGAGCAAGCCATAGAGAACAAGTAGTGCGGCTGTGCATTTTCCTGTCTCTATTGCTCTTGCTCCTGCCTGCCCTCAATGATAAACCATGATCTGGATACTTAAGCCAAAGAAACATTTGCCTGCCTAAGCTGGTTTTGGTCATAGCAACTGAAAGTATCTATAATATTCCCCTAATACAGTATCATTGCTTTTTTCATTTATCATATTTTATGTTTTTCAAAGTATTAAAGTCAGTTCCCCCCTTTTAATAAGTTTCAAAACATTAAATGGACTTATGTGGAAATTCTCAAAAGGAATTTCACGTATGATAGAGTAACACTAAATTGAGATAAATGAATAGTCTGTCAAATCATGCTTATATGATAAAGTCTGATTTCCTTGTTAAGAAAAGGTTGCATTATAGTTTGCATATGTTATTTCATTACTCCTTTTATTGACAGCAGTGTTATCAATAGACCTGTAAATAAACTGAAATATCTTTTAAGGAGTTAAATGTCTGTAAAGTATCTGTGTGTGTGCTTCCATGGGCTTAACTATGAAGGTGTTCTTATTGTTACACATAATTGTGTGCTTCTTTTCTTCTCTCTTAGGCTGATTCCAACCTGTCACCTGGAAATTGTGCCAGTAGTTGATTTTGGCATATTAGTTGCCAATAGTAAAGTGCACTGTAAAGAGATTAGTATTATTAATCGTGGCAAAGCTCCAGGTATGTGTTCTGTGTCATATAAGCTTACAAATTTAGAAGAGTTGCTATTATTTTAAATTGCATCTAGTATAATAGATTTTCCCAGTCATCAAGAAACAATGTCTATCATTTGAAATATTTGAGAACCAAAGGCCCTTAAGTGTTGTGACTACAAAGGATAGCTATGTAATCATTTAAGAAAAATGAACCTGCCTCTTATAATCTATATTAACACAGCCTGCTGGTTATGTGACTGGTGATCTTTCTGAAGATGGGAGGCAGGTTGGTGTTATAGAAGTGACATAGGCTAATCCAGAGACTGAACTAGACCTCAATGCCTTACTTACTAGCTATATCATATTGGACAGTTATCTTTAATGAAATTGAACTTTAGATGGTTGATTAGGTATTTACCTAAAATTTTGGTATGATACCTGTTTCATTGTGGACTTGAAATATTTTTTCTATTTGTCATAGTCAACTTGGCATTCAGATCATGGTCTGTAAAAGGCTTATAATAATTTATCATTGGAAGGACACTTTTTTCTAGACTTGATTATTTTTAGGAATTGTTATTGTGGCCAGGTGTTTTCATAAAAGTATATGTTGTTATGCATACTTTTTACAAATATCTTTTTTATTGTTTTTATTGAACAATATGTTTTTCTCCACTCCCCTCCTTTCCTCTCCCCTCCCCTTCTACCCTCTCCCATGGTCCTCATGCTCCCAAATTTACTTAGGAGATTTTGTCTTTTTCTACTTCCCATGTACATTAGATTCATGTATGTCTCTCTTCGGGTTCTCATTGTTGTTTAGGTTCTCTGGGATTGTGAATTGTAGGCTGTTTTTTTTTATTTCTAAAAGCCACTTATGAGTGAGTACATATGATATTTTTCTTTCTGGGTCTGGGTTACCTCACTCAATATTATGTTTTCTAGATCCATCCATTTGCCCACAAATTTCAAAGTGTCATTACTTTTTCTCCTGTGTAGTACTCCATTGTGTAAATATACCACAGTTTCTTTATCTATTCATTGAGTGAGGGGCGTTTTGGTTGCTTACAGGTTCTAGCTATGAAAAACAATGCTATCAATGCACACTTTTAATTGATTGCAACAATGGAAATAATTTGTCATTTTTTTTTTTTTTTTTGCTTTTTTGAGACAGGGTTTCTCTGTGATTTAATCCCAGCACTTGGGAGGCAGAGGCAGACGGATCTCTGTGAGTTTGAGACCAGCCTGGTCTACAAGAGCTAGTTCCAGGACAGGAACCAAAAAGCTACGGGGAAACCCTGTCTCGAAAAATCAAAAAAAAAAATTGTCATTCTTTTGATGGATGGTTAGCTACATTGGCTGCAAGATTGCCATTTCTCCCAATCTAGTACAAGGACTAATTCTAGATAGTGACTGTTTCTTTGAGACTGCATGTCTAATATATAAGGAAATAGTAAATCCAGTCCTCTTTACTTCTAGATTGTTTTTCTCTTAGCTGCCTGCTTGAACAATGGGAATTAAGAAAAAAGACAATCTATCCCATTACATATTTTCTCATAAAATATACAAGAATAAAACTGATAGGTACTTCTGATTCAATTTTGTTCATTTAGCTTTCAGTGATTTGGTTCCTTCATGGGTGAATATTCATGGCTTAGGAGTTTATAGAATATTAGGCTTATTTTCAGTTTGATTCTAATGTGAAGTATAGAGTCTCTTAAGGTAAATGATTGAGGTTCTTTGATTCTGAAGACTAGTAATATTTCAGAGTGATTATATATGATTGAATTTTTTTTATTTTTTTCTCTCCAAAATATCTTAACTTATTTATTTATAATCCTCTAGTGATTAAATGTAATATATCCAGTTTAGATTAAAATCGCCCCAAATTATAGTTACATTACATGTGAAAACTCTGAATTCAAATGCAGATTAAATTTTAATGAGATATTTAGTGTATTTTTTAATGAAAAAATGAAAGATTAATCTGTAGACATGGGCAAATATTTTTGGGAAAAATACTGATGCTTTAAAAGAAAACTGCTTTTCTGGGTGGTAAATTTAACCAAGTGTCATACTTAATTGCTTCATTTACTAATTGAAAAAAACCTGGGCAAATAATTTATTTTTACTAAGCATCAATTGCATATTTATACTTTAGAGATCAAGATATCTAAGTGTCTGATTTCTTATTTGTAAAATGGAATTCAGTGATTAAACATACAGCTTACAACAAGGATTGAAGAGCATGTATGTGGATATATAGTGTTCTTAGTATAAGTACTTTTCAAAAATGAATATATAATATTTTTAGTTACTGCTGAGGGCTAAATTTCAACATGAGTTCAGATTTATTAGGTGATGCCAGTATGTGTAATCACAATAAAAGCATTTTTTTTTGTTCCTCGGTGGATCATCTGTGTAATGTGTGTCTATTGTAAAGGTCTAGTTAAAAACTGTGCCTCTTACTCTCCTTAGGCACGTTTAAAACAGAATACCAGGGTCAGTTACCTATTGTGATTTCTCCAAGTAGTGGTATTGTGAAGGCTAAGTCATCAAAGGTCATCAAAGTGGATTTCTGTGCAGACCAGTCCCAGATTGTAAATGAAGTGGCAAGGTAAATATAGAGTATCTTTTTGGACAAATGTTTATATAGACCTCAATTTTTTTCTTCTTTCAGATTGATTGCTTGTTTGCCAACCCCCTTTCTTTCATTTGCTATTCATTTATGTAGCTCTTCCTACATATCAGGACATGCAAGTGTAGATAGTGCTCAGCCATGGAAAGCAAACGCAGAAGTGACATGTAGATACACAGAATAGCAGCTCCTACTTTCAGTTTTATGGATCCGAGGAAATGGTCTGAGGATTCCACTAATAAATTGGTAGTTGAACCACACACTAATCATTAAATAGGATCTGGTTAGTGAATGGAAATGATATGATTGGTGTGTCTGTGTGTGTGTGTGTGTGTGTGTGTGTATGTGTGTGTGTGTGTTTGTGTGTGTGTATGTATGTGTGTGTGTTTGTGTGTGTACAGGCAAAATGAATGTTGATGATAGATTGGCTTACATGAGTTATTTCAGGCAGAGAAAGTGACAATTTGAAACTTTAGAGATAACTGTATTTCCTACTGAAGAATCAGAGGCAATATAGAGTTGAAGAAGTAGAAGGGAGTGATGTGAGGTGAGGCTAAAACAAAGGAATGACACAAGATCCAGTAAAGGGTGTATGGGACAACAATTTTTTCATGAGGTTTGCTTCAGTGCACTCATAGATGTGATGTGCATTTAGTAATGTGTGTGAGCTACTAAATTACACCTGAAATGTATTTCTTATTGAAGGTTACTATTGTGGTTTTTGAGATCCAGTTGTGAGCCTGAAAATTAATCTGAGGATCAGTTTGCAATTTAGAAAGTCACAGTAACAGCCGTGCATGAAACAAATCAGAGAGCACAAAAGAAATTTGACAATCTGACTTGATATTTATAAAAGCAAAGCCAAAAAGAAATAGGAAAAGGCAGAGCTAGGGCCTAAAATGGGAAAATTGAGAGACATGCACAGATTTAAGATATATTAATACAAGCCTGTTTAATTCATTTGATGAGTTAATGAACAAAAGAAAGTGGAAGAAAGTTCATATGTGGCATGGGAGGAGTGATTTCATTGTTAGAGTCATTGTGGAGTCTCTGGCTATGACTTACATGTTCTAAGTCCCAGAAAGCAGCTTTGTCTAGATTAGTTGGGTACAGGGTATTAGGAGTATATGTGGTATCTAAAACATAGGAATCCTGAGAATTTCACTGAAGAGTGGAATATGGACTAATAAGAGAGAAGAAACAAATAATTTACAGAGGATCTGTGTCTTAGAATGAAAAGTTAGAGCATGCATGATTGAGTTAGAATGAAAACCGAGGGAAGTGTGTGATGGCCAGGAATCTAAGGAAGGACAGGTATGTTGAGATATGGTATAGATAAAACCCCACAATTATAGAAAAATGTAAGTGTTTTGATGATAGCCAGTTATTTGTGGTATATGTTGGGGTCAAGTTGAAAGGATTGTATTCATGCCAGAAAGAAAGAAACATGTGCCAGATGTGCTAAATGAGAACTGAAATTAGTTTGAAATTTTTTCTGAGGTATGTTTGATTTAGGGAACTGTGGTATTGGAATGTAGATGATGGCTTGGGCCTCGGTTCCAATTTATAGATGTAGGCACACAAAGTGACGTCATAATCTCTAATAGTAAATGAAAGGAACTAATCTTAAATCTGCTAATTTAGTTATGATGTCATTTAAAAAACTTTATTCAAATAATTAGAAGAATATAAATATGAATATATAATAAAAATACTTACACTTGTTTTATTATGTTATAGAGTGAGTTTGCAAGGTCGTCCTGATACACTCTTGAACATCAAAGTTCATGTGGTTGAGCAGATAATCGAATTGCTTAACATGAACTGTGACAGGAAATTGGAATGCATACGGTTTGGTTCTGTTTTCTTTGGAACATCAAAACTTGAGCATGCACTTTTGTTTAACAATAGCCCTGAAACTGTAAACTGGGTGGCAATAATGCAAGATGACTGTGTTGGAGAAGAACTGCTAAGTAAATTGAGCGAAAGTGGTGCATCATGTCTGAATTAAACCAGACAAATGCTCCCTGCAACTTAGTAACTTACTCTGAAGATTTCTACTCTCCTCAAATTTTGAGATGTATCATGTCCTTTGTCAAGTTTAGGTATATGTTACTGTAGAGACAAATACTCTTCACTTTCTAGGTTCTAAAATTGCAATAATTATTTTAACTCTTTCAAATATGTTATTTCCATTTTCCCTAATATGCTTTTATGTCTTATTTTATGTTACAGGGAGCAAATATTCATCAAAGGACAGATATTGCCTTAAATAATCTCCCCTACTTAAACAAAATAAAGAAAATAGATATGACTGATTTTATGACCTGTGTTCCCAATGAAGGGACTTTACTCCCCTATCAAAAGATTGTAATTACATTTTGCTTCAGCCCAAAGTAAGGAAAAGTGAATTTATTTGTAATTCCAATTATTAATGAAAATTAGTTATGATACACTAACCAGACTTATTTAATGTCATAGTACAGCATGTAGGAAAGCAAAAATCATATTTTTCATACATTTCTAAATATTTCTAACATGTTTAAGATTTCCAATATTCATAAATATGACATACAATATTTTTGTAATTAAAGTCCTAGATCTATAGGGAATGGGTGGAGGAGGTAAAATTTTTGGTTGTTTTGGATTCCATAAGTTGATTTGTGCAGTCCAGAACTTTTTTCAGGAATAGTGAGATGCCTGTAGTGTTTTATAGATGACACCAAATAGGAAGTGATGCTCTTACTTGAACAGAATCTTTGCTGACTGAATACTATCAATGTTAAAACAACATTATCTACTTCCGTTAACCCACAGAATTTAATGAAACACATGCAGTGTATATTTTCATAGCTCTTTGTACTTGCTTTTCTTATCTAGGCTGAAAATACTTTTGAAAATGTTGAATATATGGTAAACAATTCAATATTATCTTAGTCTGTTTCTCAACTGTAAGAATTTACCTTTGTGAGATGGTCATGTTTAGTGTACTTCCATTACAGCATTGTCACTTAGTGATACACGATTTTTGTAGGCTGAGTGTTTTAAGAGGATATGATGGTTAGTTTTAATTGTCAACTTGATAGAATGACCTGAGAATCTCAATCAGTGATTGATAAACTGTATTAGGTTGGCCTATGGTCATGTACATAGAAGACTGCCTTAATTGATGAGGGAAGACCTGCTATTTTCTGTTTCGGGATCTTATGCTCTATAAAACTAAAAAAAAAAAAAAAAGCTTTCTGAGTACTAGACAAACATTTATTTATTTCTCTCTTCTCTGTATTGTGACTATGAGCTGACTACATTTACATTTTAAAATGCTTTACATTGTTGCCTTGATTTTCTTGCTATGATGGAATTTGACCAGAAATTGTGAACTAAGATAAACCTTTCTCTTCTTCATTGCTTTATCAAGTCAACAGAAATGAAACTACGGCATCAAAACTAATCGTTAATTGCCCCACTCATATATTCAAGAATTATCTTAATGATACTTTTCTAAGAAGTGTCTTTGGAAAATCTATAAAATTATGTTCAACAATACAAGATTATGTTATTTTATGTGTCCCCATTGTATTTTATATGATTGTATTGGTAGTTGTTGTGAGTCAACTGATGTGGGTGCTGGGAACCAAGCCTGGGTCCTCGTAACTCTAGCGCCATCTCTTTAGCCTCCTCCACCTCTACATGCTTTGAAAGAAATCCAAATGTTGTTTCCTATGACAGCATTTTAACTGTGGGAGTCTAGCATGGGCATTTAGGTGTGAATATTTGAAGTCTTAGTTAAATTTGTTTTTTAACATACTATATGTGCTCCCATTTAATATTGCACACCCACTTTTTGTGTATTTGAGTATCTACTCGCAGAAGAGCTAATCTGTAAGTAAGCTAGATAAATATAATCAGAGACCTGGCCTATGGTGTAACCTATCTATACCCTTGTTCCCATTTCTCCCTTAATGTTCCATTCTTCCATTTCATTTCTCTAAGAAGATCTGATTCATATCAAATTATGTTCTCTAATTACTTGTCCATTATGAGGAACTTGATTGGTGATAAATATGAATTTAGTTCATGAGAGTAAATAAATATGTAACAGAATTTGCTACTAAGGGAAATATGGGTTACTATAGAGACTGCTTAGATTCCTTTGCTAACAGTGAATTCTATCTGGCAGAAAAATACAGTATAAACACTGTGGCATGTCATGTAGGTTTTGGCATATTGGGACACTTAAGTTAGTCTTGTCTTAAAAATATAAGTATTAATTCAGTTACTTTCTTGAGCTTTATGCTCTGAGGTCTTTGTTGTTAGTAAATTTGGAAAATAGGTAATAGATGTGTTTTTATTCCTTTTCATCTGCTTACATAGATTTAAGAATTAGGTTGATTATTTTTATTGACAAGTGACAAAAACATGTAACCTGTGCTTTAAAAACAACTAATTATGATATTAACAGGCTAGTGGTTGATATTAAAAAGGATGTTGGGCCTTCACATAGGCAAGACTATGCCCTCTTTGTGAGATTTGATTCTGTGGGAAGTAAAGATGGATTTTTAAGAGATGATAACTCTAACACCATGAAAAGTAAGTATGAACTGAATAAGACCATTAAATATGTAGTAGTTAAAATTCATTAAGAGAAAAAATAGCACATGTGAGGGAATTGGAAGGAGTTTGATGGGAGAAAATGGGAGGTAAATTGGATAAAAGCTCATTATATGCATGTGTGACATTTTCAAACAATAAAATAGAATAATGAGCATCAGTGCTACAGGAAAAATATAAAATGCTTATTTTTTACATTGAACAAAAATCTATACACTTTCATGGCTTTAATATATCATCTGTGGCGTGTGAAGACAACCATGGAAACATTTACATGACTTTAGATAAACATTATGATCTCGGAATTTGAGAAATTAAAACTGAATATTTTTAATTTTTAGATATGGCAAGGTTTATTCATAGGATTTGACATAAAACAAATGGGCCACTTTGTTTTGATCAGACCTTTACTTCTAGAATGCTGCCTATAGTAACAGTTGAAGATCAAGACTGAGATCTACTCAACAGGGTAATACTGTCTTTGGATACATACCATGAGTATGTGAAAGGCATGTATTTTCTATGCCACATATTAAGAGGCATTGATTTTTTTTTTTACAATTTCAAGTAGTTTTGTGTTGATTGGAGCAAAGCAAAAATGTAATAGTACTTGAGTCACTTTTAATAAGCTAGATCAAAGATGAATGAATAGGGAGGTTGCAATTCAAATTCTGAAAAAAATGAGCTATGCCCAGGAGATGTAAATCCTTCCTGTTAACTTAGCAAAGCCAAGAGTTTGGAAGATTTGCAGGCCAGTATGAATATATACTGTCACTCTGTTTAATTAAGCTGTTAATCTTGCTCAGTATGGCAGAAATGTCTTGCTGGTATTACTGATGTCATGCCTTGTTATATTGAACTATATTTACCGATGAGAGAACATTTACTTCAAGTTTTCTTGTTAATGCTGCTTTTTTTCTTATTTTACCCCATTTATTGAGCATAGATACTTTTTTTTCATAGTTTTTCTGAGTATAGTTTCTCATTCCCTTATATCTACCAGTTCCTCCTTAACCTCCCTTTCCTCTGAATCCATTCCCTTTCTGTGTCTCATGTCAAAAGAACAGGCTTCTGGAAGATAACAACAAAACACAACAAAATAAAATATATTACGATGAAGCAAAAGCTTTCACATCAGAGTTGGACACAGCAACCCAAAAGGACAAAGAGAGTTCCAAGAACACACATAATAGCCAGAGACTCATTAGTTCTCACACTCAGGAGTCCCATAAAAATATTAAGCTAATACCTATAATATAATACAATACATATGTAATATATAATATATTTCACACACACAGGGGCTGCTGTAGTCCTTTTAAAACCCTATGATTGCTTTTTTAGAGTTTGTGAGTTCATGTGCTCCTTGCTTAGTTGTTTCTTCTATTCTTCTATACCTATTATTCTTACTTTTTTTTTCCGTGTCCTAGATTTGTTGGATATTTTGTGTTAGGAATTTTTTAGATTAAGATTTTATTTAATTGGTGTGTCCATTTTGTTTATATATTATATTTTAAATGTCTGAGCTGCTCTCTTCCATCTCTAGTATTCTGTTGATGAAGCTTGCCTTTGTAGTTCCTGTTCAAATTCCTAAATTTTTCATTTCCAGAATTCCTTCATTGGGCTTTCTTTATTGCTTCTCTTCATTTTCAGCCCTTGAACAGTTTAGCTGATTGGCCAAACTTGGTTGGGGGACATCTTGGACTCATGCTTAGGTCATTCTTTATAATGGGGGATGTTCCACGTCTAAAGTAGGGACACATTTTGGCCCCTTCATAACTGAAGTGAGTTGGAAAAAGAAATGTTGGAAGAGAGAATCTTTGTGATTCCTTGGGGATGGTGTCAGTTAAGAAAGGGAGACCACAGTGTCTTTCCTACTAAGAAGCTAGGGATGAGCCGTGGGTAGGGGTTGGGAGGGAGAAATTGGATCTCAGGAGCAGTGGAGACATGTGGGTCTGCATTAAGCTTATGTGTTGCCCTGTGAGGAGCAGCCTTTGGGTTAGCAGGGGATAGGTATCTGCTCTGGTTGTGGTCTAGGACAAAACAAGTGGATAGGAAGGTTACACGGGAACATCTATGGCAGCCACAGGAGATGTGGGAAGGGGAAAGGAAAGGCTGCCATGGGGTTTTCTGTTGCAGAACTTGGGATGAGACTCGGGGATTGAATCTGGGAGAACAGGAAAAGAAGAGATGGTCTGTGTACATCCTACCTGGTTTTCTGGCATGCCCTGTTGGTTAGCAGGGGGTGCCTGCTAGAGTTGGGGTCTGGGAAAAAGCTACAGGTGGGAGGGGGGATGGAGTGGCAGGTTGGAAAGAGATCTGTGAAATCCGCAGGAGGTGGGAGCAAAGGGGCAGGGGAGGCTGCAAAAGGTGTTCTGCTGCAGAGACTGGGGGATTGGATCGGGGGAACAGAGAACAATAAAGCTTCTAATAGCTAGAGATGGATATTCTACATTCATCTTACAGCTTATTTATAGGCTACAATTGATCAATGAGAACTCTAGTAAGAAAAACATTATTCTATGGTTCTAGTTACAGTTCTCTTCATAAAACTATTAAGTAGAGAGTAAGTCGGTTATGGATCAAAGACCCCACGGACTACTACAGAAAACCAAAGTCCAAATTGGGAGTCTTTATTAAACTAACTGGAGATTATCTGGAGAGCAACCGTGCTCACACAGCAGCCCTGCCTGTTTTAAGGGCAAAAACTACATCCTGGTTGGCAGTTGCAGGGGGAAGTAAAGCAAACAAGCTGTTTATAAGATACAAAAGTTGTCAGTTAGCTGGGGCATCTTGACCTCAAGTCCCTGGGACATAGTTAGGTGATTTTCTAAGGGACATTCCCAGAGGAGGGGCTGTAAGCAGGGAATATGCTTTGAATCAGACCTTAGATGACTACAGAAGAGACAACAAGAGGAATCTTGACTCTCACACAATCCACAGTTCTGTCTAATACCTAATATCCCCAACCCTAAATTATATATACTTTCCCAGTCTGTATTATTCTATCATGTATGATTTAATATTCATTTTTGTGTATATATAACCTTTGACCTATTTCCCATAATGATTGAAGAGAAAAAACTAATCTCTTTAACTTTCATATTACTCACCCTAGTGGATTATGATGTTTTGGTATTTGCTAAATTCTGTAATTCATTCTAAAAATCTCCATGCTAAACACATTTGATTCAAGTCTCCTTTCTTTCCTCTTTCCTTTTTACATAAAGGATTTAAATACATTGAATGATCTACTAGATATGTCCACTAGATTATCCACTAGACACAGGCTCATGCTAAAGTTACTTGTTCTGCCCAGAATCATTGCCTAGCGATGATGCTGCCTACAGTGAACTGGATCATTCTGCATCAAGAAATCATGAAGAGAAAACCCACATAAATGCCCACAAGCCAATCTAATCTAGACAGTTCTTTGGGTGATCCTAGGCTGTTCCAAGTTTACAGTTAGAGCTAACTAGAAATATTTCAAAAAAATTAATAATTTTTTATAAGTAGCTTTATGCTTCAGTCTTTATTAATCTCTAGAAATGGTAAGTTTATACTTTCAGTTGCTCACACACGCACTAAAGTATATATGAACAAACAAATAAAACATAGGAAAAAAGCCCTTAGTGTCATAATTTAGCATCTGTTGATTTTCCTCTCCTCTATCCAGTAAATGGGCAAAGATTATTTACTCTGCACTCAAGAATATATCTATAACCTTGACTGTTTCTGACCATCCTTTTACAGTTCTCCTAAAACAACCATATGTGTTTCCTTATGGCTTTTTGAATGTGAGAAGCAAGTTCCTACGTTAGAGTGCTTGAATTTGCTCTTTCTACTTGGAACACACTTTTTATGGATGTTTCATTTCCTCGAAATGTTTGCCCAAATGTTGCAGTATAAATTAAAATGGCTTATTTGAATATCTCTACCTAAAACAGTCTCCCCAAGACTTTGTATTATGTCTCACTCTTTGTCTTTACATATAGCTTCTACCCTTTGTAAGTGTTACAAATGTAGTTACTGTCAGCCTTATATTTCCAGAATGTAAATCCATCAGAGCAGCTTTTTCTTTATTCATAGCTGTGTCCTCAAGACTCAAAATTATGCGTAGCATAAAGAAGGCAGGCAATGGTTTTGCAGAAGATCGAATGAGCTCCTTATTTCCCATCATATTTTTTAAGTGTTGCTATGTGAAGTAAGCTAATATATTTTTGGTTCTCCAAACACTCCTCACTTTGTTCAGTAGGTTTTATTGCTTTTTCAGGTAATCGACTTCAAAAAGTAGAGTTAGCTTTGACAGGCTCTGGACTTCCTGTCATCTTACAGTTTGATCCAGGAAAATCACTTACTTTTGCACCTTGTTTCATGGGTGAGCATTCGGATATTCTGTGCATTGTAAAAAATCAATCCATATCACTTCCTGTGATGTACCATTTTCAAAAAACTGCACACTTTAAAATGGATCCTGAAAGGGGCAAAATTGATGAAGGATGTATTCAGGTAAGTTAGCTTATTCTTTGCCTTCCTTCCATTAGCACTTCAGCTATTTTTTTATTCAGAGTAATTTACAGAGGAGAAAGGACCACATTTGATCTACTAGTGTTTATGAAGTATGTCTCTTATGTGACCTAGAATTAGTTATACATCCAGTCATATAGAATCCATAATTCTTTGTTAAGGGTCTGCATTGTTCCAGTGAAAGCATGTAATGTTCAGGTGCACTATGAAATGCAGCTGTTGCTTCTAAAACAGTTTTATTTTATTAAGGAATTTTAAGACATATACAGAAACAGGTATGACTTAAGATTGTAGAGTGTTAAACAGGATCTGTAATGTAGTGCCATCCAAACTCAAAGAACATTTTATTTCCATTCGGGAAGATTCTTCTGGAGAATCACATGAGCGATATCTTGCAGATTTAGTTAAAGTTTGAAATTTCAAACAGGTAATAGTTGGCTAGTTTGCAGTTTCTTATGTTGGGGGAAAACAAACAAACAAAAAACAAATACTAAGACAGTCTTGTTGGAACCAGCCCCCACCCCCATGTTTCAGGAGTTATTTTAATTATGGCTAGCCACTCTTGCCAACTCTTTTCTAGACACTCTAAAACAGAACTTTTTGAAACAGGGTTTCTCTGTAGCTTTGGTGCCTGTCCTGGAACTAGCTCTTGTAGACCAGGCTGGCCTCGAACTCCCAGAGATCCGCCTGCCTCTGCCTCACGAGTGCTGGAATTAAAGGCATGCTCCACCACCGCCCGGCTAAAACAGAACTTCTTAAGCATTCTTTACTAACTTTTTTTGCCTGAGCTGATTAAAGTGTGTATACAAATTTAATATTTTTATGCTGAAAATGATGGCAGAAGAATATTGAAAGTATTCAGTGTCCATAATAACATAGAAAAATTTGTGGGTACAGTAAAAAAAGTGCATCTTAAAATATACAGTGGTTTCAAATCTGAGCCCACATGTTTCAGGCACTATCCATTGTTGTTATGTTATATGATGCACACACAATGCAGTGTGAATTTTGTACATTCAGAAGCATGACTGTGGTGACCATTTGTGCTGCAACAGACTTGTGTTGCAAGTAAAACCTCGGCTCAATTACACATTTAACTTTCACTTAATTTTTATTCATCGCATATTCAAAAGCTTTTTATTGTTGGCAAATTTTGTGTCCCACACCACATTTCATTTTAGGACCCCCATATATGTTTGTGACTTAAGTCAACTCTTAGAAATCTATGGTCTGTTGGACAGTTCTATTTTGATTCCTGATTCTTCCCTGTTTGAGCAATTATACTGATGTTATAAGCATTTCTGGGTGATTTTATATGGATATATACTTAAGACTCTCAGAATATATCATATAGAGGAATCGTTAAATCTTTTTTTTTATTTAAAATTTTTTTTTTATTGAGAAAAGAAAAAAAACATAAACAAAAAACAAGTGCCCCCCTCCTCCCAGCCTCCCATTTCCCTCCCCCTCCTCCCACCCTTCTCCCCCTCCCCCCACTCCTCTCCCCCTCCCTCTCCAGTCCACAGAGCAGTCCGGGTTCCCTGCCCTGTGGTAAGTCCTAGGTCCTCCCCCCTCCGTCCATATCTAGGAGGGTGAACATCCAAACTGGCTAGGCTCCCACAAAGCCAGCACATTAAGTACAATCAAAACCCCGTGCCATTGTCCTTGGCGTCTCATCAACCCTCATTGTTCGCCATGTTCAGAGAGTCCGGTTTTATCCCATGCTTTTTCAGTCACAGTCCAGCTGGCCTTGGTGAGCTCCCAGTAGATCAGCTCCACTGTCTCAGTGGGTGGGTGCACGCCTCGTGGTCCCGACATCTTTGCTCATGTTCTCCCTCCTTCTGCTCCTCATTGGGACCTTGGGAGCTCAGTCCAGTGCTCCTGTGTGGGTCTCTGTCTCTATCTCTATCCATCACCAGATGAAGGTTTCTATGATGATATGCAAGATATTCGTCAGTATTGCTATAGGATAGGGTCGCTGGAGAGGCTGTGGAGGAAGGGGTACACTCATCCATTGCTGGTGGGAATGCAATCTTGTGCAATCCAAGATCAAGGGAGGTCCTTCCGTTTTCTGGTATCCTCTTCAATTTCTTTCTTCAATGCCTTAAAGTTCTTGTCAAATAGATCTTTCACTTACTTGGTCATAGTTACCCCAAGATATTTTATGCTGTTTGTGGATATCGTGAATGGTGAAGCTTCTCTGATTTCCCTCTCTGCTTCCATATCCTTTGTGTATAAGAGGGCAACTGATTTTTTGGAGTTGATCTTGTATCCTGCCACATTACTAAAGGTGTTTATCAGCTGTTGGAGTTCTTTGGTGGAGTTTTTGGGGTCGCTTATGTACACTATCATATCATCTGCAAATAATGAAAGTTTAACTTCTTCCTTTCCAAATCGAATCCCCTTGATCCCCTTATGTTGTCTTATTGCTATTGCTAAAACTTCAAGCACTATATTGAAGAGGTATGGCGAGAGTGGACAGCCTTGTCGTGTTCCTGATTTTAGTGGGATGGCTTTGAGTTTCTCTCCGTTTAATTTGATGTTAGCTGTCGGCTTGCTGTATATAGCTTTTATTATATTTAGGTAAGACCCTTGTATCCCTTATCTCTCCAATAATTTTATCATAAAGGGATGTTGAATTTTGTCAAATGCTTTTTCAGCATCTAATGAAATGATCATATGTTTTTTTTCTTTCAGTTTATTTATATGCTGGATTACATTGATAGATTTTCATATGTTGAACCACCCCTGCATCTCTGAGATGAAGCCTACTTGATCATAATGGATAACTTTTCTAATGTGTTCTTGGATACGGTTTGCCAATATTTTGTTGAGAATTTTTGCATCGATATTCATGAGTGAGATTGGCCTGTAATTCTGTTTCTTGGTTGAATCTTTGTGTGGTTTTCCTATCATAGTAACTGTAGCTTCATAAAAGGAATTTGGCAATGACTCTTCTGTTTCTATATTGTGAAGTACGTTAAGGAGTATAGGTATTAGGTCTTCTTGGTAGTTCTTGTAGCATTCCGCATTGAAACCATCTGGTCCTGGGCTTCTTTTGGTAGGGAGGTTTTTGATAACAGCTTCTAATTCTTCACGACTAACAGGTCTATTTAGATTGTTCACCTGGTCCTAGTTTAACTTTGGTATATGGTATTTATCTAAAAACGTGTCCATTTCTTTTACATTTTGCATTTTTGTGGCATACAGGCTTTTGTAGTAAGATCTAACGATTTTCTGAATTTCCTCTGTGTCTGTGGTTATGTACCCCTTTTCAATTCTCATCCTATTAATTTGCATATTCTCTCTGCCGTTTGATTAGTTTGGATAGGGGTTTGTCAATCTTGTTGATTTTCTCCAGGAACCAGCTTTTTGTTTCATTGATTCTTTGGATTGTTTTGTGTGTTTCTACTTTGTTGATTTCCGCCCTCAGTTTGAATATTTCCAGTCTTCTACTCCTCCTAGGTGAGTCTGCTTCTCTTTTTTCTAGAGCTTTCAGGTGGGCTGTTAATTCTCCAATGTGTGCTCTTTCTTTTTTCTCTCAGAGGGCACTTAGTGCTATGAACTTTCCTCTTAGGACTGCTTTCATAGTGTCCCATAAGTTTGAGTAGGTTGTTTCTTTGTTTTCATTGAATTCAAGGAAGACTTTAATTTCTTTATTTTTTCCTTGATCCAGGTGTGGTTCAGTAGTTGACTGTTCAGTTTCCATGAGTTTGTAGGCTTTCTGGGGGTAGCATTGTTGTTGAATTCTAACTTTATTCCATGGTGATCTGATAAGACACAGGTGGTTACTAATATTTTTTTGTAACTGTGTAAGTTAGCTTTGTTACCGAGTATGTGGTCAATTTTCGAGAAGGTTCCATGAGCTGCAGAGTAGAAGGTATATTCTTTCCTCTTTGGGTGGAATAATCTATAGATGTCTGTTAAGTCCATTTGCTTCATTACCTCCATTAATTCTCTAATTTCTCTGTTAGGTTTCTGTCTGATTGACCTGTCCATTGGTGAGAGAGGAGTGTTGAAGTCTTCTACTATTAGTGTGTGCGGTTTGATGTCTGCCTTGAGTTTTAGTAATGTTTCTTTTACATACGTGGGTGCTTTTATATTTGGGGCATAGATATTCAGGATTGAGACTTCTTCCTGATGAATTGTTCCTGTTACGAGTATAAAATGCCCCTCTCTATCTCTTCTGATCGATTTAAGTTTGAAGTCAACTTTGTTAGAAATTAGTATGGCCACACCTGCTTGTTTCTTACTTCCATTTGCTTGATAAGCCTTTTCCCATCCCTTTACTCTGAGTAGGTGCCTGTCTTTGTGGTTGAGGTGTGTTTCTTGTAGACAGCAGAATGTTGGATCCTGTTTTCTTATCCAATCTCTTAGCCTGTGCCTTTTTATAGGTGAGTTGAGCCCATTGATATTAAGTGATATTAATGACCAGTGGTTGTTAACTCTGGTCACTTTTTTAGTAGTAGGGTTTGTGTGTTTTCCTTCTTTGATTTGCGCTGGTGAAGGGTCTCTAGATGTCTGAGTTATTGTTGGCATTGTTGGACTCCTTGGTTAGTGATTTTCCTTCTATTATTTTCTGTAAGGCTGGATTTGTGGCTACGTATCGTTTAAATTTGTTTTTATCCTGGAAAATTTTGTTTTCTTCATTTGTAGTGAACGAAAGTTTGGCTGGATATAGTAGTCTGGGCTTGCATCCGTGGTCTCTTAGTTTTTGGAGTACATCTATCCAGGACCTTCTAGCTTTCATGGTTTCCATAGATAAGTCAGGTGTAAGTCTGATAGGTTTACTTTTATAAGTAACTTGGCCTTTTTCCTTTGCGGCTTTTAATATTCTTTCTTTATTCTGTATATTTTGTGTTTTGATTATTATATGGCGAGGGGATGTTTTTTTTTTGATCCAGCCTATTTGGTGTTCTGTATGCTTCTGAACCTTCATAGGTACATCTGTCTTCAGGTTGGGAAAGTTTTCTTCTATAATT